GAGCACGCGCCTGGGCTCCGGGCCGCGCCCGCACCTGCGGGCAGGTGACGTCGGTGACGCCGGTGACGTCGGTCTCAGGCCCCGGCTGTGTCGCCTCCGGTTTTTGTTTCCTTAAGATTTACTCGTGCATGCGCCGGGGTGCAGAACAAGCGGACCCATGAAATCCACTGCAGGTGGGCAGCGGGGCGACCGCAGTGGGCACCGTGGGGCACCCCTGGCCGAGTGGACTCGGGCCGCTGGTCCCCAGCAGGCTCTGCCCGGGCCGGCCCCGCCGGGGACGAGCCACTGTGGGGAGCTGGGGCCCCCCTTGGCGCCGGCCCTTGGGGCGCACAGCCACGTCCACGCCAGACCCCCGCGCCACTGGCGGGCCCCAGAGTCCCAGGCTGGGGGCGCCCGGCCCTGCGCCACGCTGCAGCCCCAGGGCGGCCCTGCAGGGCCAGAACCCCAGAAGCTGGGCCCGGAGAGGGCGTCGAGCGCCCCGAAGGGCTCCCTCTCCACGTGGCGGCGCAAAGGGACGGCCCTCACCTCTGCCTGAGGTGGAATCAGCCAGACGCCCCCGGGGCTGCTCGCTGGCCCCAGACCCGAGAACCCCGAGACCCCCGGGGACCTCCAGAGCGGCCTCGGGGCCCCCACAGCTCTGCAAACCCCGCGGTGTGCCGGCCCCCCAGCACCCCTCCGGGGCCTGCGCCAACCCAGACCCTCGCTGGGCCTCGCCGGCTCAGGGGAGGGGCCCAACCACCCTGCCGGTGCCAGTCCTGGCACTGGGCATCTAGGGTGCCGCTCCCCACTCTGTGGGGACAGCCGCCAGGGCCCTGACCACGCGCCGGCCACCACGCGCTTTCCAGCGACACCCGGGCCGGGGGTCAGTGTGCGTCCCTCGGGGGCCACTCCCAAGGGTCACCGCCTCCCTCTTCCCTGGGAAAGGGGGGGGCAGGGGGGCCAGGTCTCCCCTCAGCTCCAGCACGGCTGAGAGACCAGGTGCACACGGCCCGGGCCTGCACCCCTCCCTGCAGGACCCGCCCAGAACTGGCCTCTCCCGCGGGCGGCAGCACAGGTTAGTTCTCGGGGCTAAAAATAACAGGCGCTCAGCCCGGTTAATAGAGTGTCCAGGGTAATTATAGCATCCGGGCTCGGGAGAAAACGAAATCCCCGAGCGGCCCCACCCAGACTAGGTCCCCCCGAAACACCGAGGGCCGGGGGCGCGCACGAGGGCCGGGGGCGCGCGAGGGCGGGGCGCATGCGCACTGTCCGTGAGGCCCGCCCACGGCTCCGGAGCGGGGCTCGGCCTTAGCCGCCCCACAGGCGGAGGGTGCACCCCGGCTCCGGGGAGGAACTGGGGTAAAAGAGCAGCACCTTCCTGCAGCCGAGCGGACCCCAGCCCTGAGCTCCCGCGGAGCGGCCGCCGGCCCTGCGGGGGCCACCGCTGCCCCACGGGCCGCGGGTGGGGCGATGGCCGGCCAGGCCCCTGTGCCAGGCCAGGCTGCCTGCGCTCTGGGGCCAGCAGTGCCGGCCCGTGAGTGTGGGCTCCAGACAGGTCACACGGAGGCCAGGGCCCCTGTGCGGGCACGGCCCACGCCGCGCCAGCGACCACTCCAGAGGCCGGGCGCCGGCCGGCCCTGGCTGCTGCGGTACCCAGGAGGGCACCGTCTGTTGGCCGCAGGCAAGTGCACCCAGAGCTGAGACCCCAGGGCCACCACGGCCCAGGGAACGCGGGGAGTGCCCCCAGGGTGCCGCCCAGAGGAAGTGGCTGGCTGTCCTGCCCAGGCTGGAGCCCTGACTCCCCAGACTCACTCCGGCCCATGCGGACAGGCTCTGCCGGGCAGAGAAGGCGCCAGACGGTGCGCAGGCTCCAGCCAACCCTGCCGGCCCTGAGGCCCCGTGCGAGGAGCCGCCCCCAGCCGAGGTGGGAGAAGGAGCGGACGAGGAAAGGGGGCTCCTCTCATCTCCACACGGGCCCAGGAAGCACCCCGCCTTCCACACCTGTTAAGCACACGAGGCCCTGCCCTCGGCCCTCGGCCCTGGTAGCCCCTCGCAGCCGCCGGGGGTAACAGCCTCCGCCAGGCTGCCCAGCCACTGTCCCAGGGTCATGTGAGAAGGCGCCATCACGGCCCCAGGTGGGCCCAGAGACGTGGCGGGCGGGAGGACACGGCCCAGAGAGGTGGCGGGTGGAGGACACGGCCCAGAAACGTGGCAGGCAGAGGACACGGGCCCAGAGACATGACAGGTGGGAGGACACGGACCCAGAGACGTGGCGGACAGAGGACACGGGCCCAGAGACGTGGCGGACAGAGGACACGGGCCCAGAGACGTGGCGGGCGGAGGACACGGCCCAGAGACTGGGCAGAGGACGCGGCCCAGAGATGTGGCAGGCAGAGGACACGGGCCCAGAGACGTGGCAGGTGGGCGGACACGGCCTCAGCGCCGTTCGGTGCTCTCCAGACCCTGACTCACGCTCATGCCAGCAGGGGCGGCGCAGAGGCCGGGAAGGCACCCCACTCGGGCTTCGTGGGCGGCATGGTGGGGCGACAGCTCACGCCGGCCCCACTGGCCCTCAGCGGTCCCCGAGCTCCCACGCAGGAGCGTGAAGGGCCTGCGCGTGGGGCCCCGGCTGGGGTTCAGAGGGTCCAAGGAGCGGCCGCCCCCGCCGGCAGGGCTGGCGCTGCGTCCATGGCTATGGCGGGGCCGGGAGGAGTGGGGCCTGGGCTTGCCACCAGGGTCGGCTGCGGCCTCCCCGCCCCAGCCCTCCCCGCCCCAGCCCTCCAGCCGGCACAGGAAGCCCACAGGGCCACACCCAGCGACTAGCCCCCACCGCTCCCCAAGAGGGAAGCACCCCCAGATGCACCCCCACTGAGCTCACGGGACTCGGCGGAGAGCCCCAGGCGGAGGCGCCTCCCGCAACCCGGCAGGCGCCGCGTGGACCCTGGGGTCCTCAGGCAGAGGGTCCCTCCCGGGCAGGCCCCCGCTGGGCGCTGCCAAGCACTTGTGCCCGCTTCCGCCGAGCACCACCAGCGTCTCAGTGAGGAGCCACGAACCAAAATAAAGCCGGCAGGAAGGAGCACGCGCTGGTGCCGGATTCCGCAGCGTCGGGTGTCATCAACAACTGACCGGCATGGGGCGGCCGGCTCGGCGCGGCACAGCACAGAGGCCGTGTGGGCTCTGCCGGGGCGGGAAGGGCCCTCGGAGCCGCGGGACAGTCTCCCCGGCGTGCGCACAGCGGCTCATTTCCAGGAAGGAGCCCACAGGCGTTCTCCCGAGATCTGAGCGGGTCGGAAGGCGGCCGGCCCCAGATAAGCCCAGGAAGTGCTGACCTCCCGGCCCACTTCTGCATCTGCATTTCACTTCCCTCGCTCGCTGGGCCTTTCGCTGGGCTCGGCCTGGCCTGCGTGCGGAAAGGCGCAGTAGTCCCTGCAGTGGGACAGGGACAGCACAGGGAGGCCTGCACGGCAGCCCTGCGGCGCGGCCGGCGGTCAGCTCTCAATGGAGGGGTGGCTGCTTGCCAGGAGGAAGCCCGGGCGACAGCACGCCCAGCGGGCGCACACGCGCGCACACATCGCCTCACAGACGTGCAGACACACAAAGACGCGCACACACAAAGGCACACACGCACCCTCACCCGAGCAGCGCGCGGCCCCACGACCGGGCGCGGGGGGAGCTTCCCGGGCCCAGGGAGGAAGTTTCCGGCGCAGGGGCTGGGGGAGATGTGGGACCCGAGGTGGGCGGTTTTGGGTCCTGAAAGGCAGGCGTCCGGGCAGCCCCCGCGCGCGCACCGCGCCTTGGGCGCGC